CCTTCATCCCTAAATCCAACACCTTACAAGACCTCAAACTTACTGGTTCGTACTAGGGAACAAGGGAATATACTACATGGGGATTGTACAGGGATCATATTCCCATATTCCCCTACTAAGATCCAGTAAGTATGCCTGAGGCTGGAACCGGACGATTCGTAGAGGCGGCTCCCGAGACTGAGCAATTCCCGAGCCTGCAGCGCCAACGGCCGGGACAGACGGTTTCGGGTTTAGGGGATTTGGGAGTTTTTGGGGATTATGCTCCTAGACCCTCCTCCTACCCTCTACTGAGGCCTAAGTACCCACATTTCGGGGTTGCATATCCCCAATTAAGGGGATTCGGATTTAGGGTTTAGGGTTTAACGGGTATACTTATACTGGGCATAATAGGTACACATCCATGAGCCGGAGCCTTCTGCTGCATGGCTTCTTTGTCCATGGCAATCACCTGAAGGCAGTGTTCCAGAACCGCATGGGCTATAATCTAAACTCCTAGTATCCCCCTAAATGACCCCTTATAGTGCTCAGCTAAATAATCCACTATATTCCCCCTTGAGGGAGTTGAGACCCCTAAACCCTAATCCCCTAAATAACCTCTCTTCAAGGAATTAAGACTATAGCTCACAGGCTCACTCTCCCAGCCTGCTCCACAAACTCCTTCCGCCTGTCCGCACACAGAGCCGCATAACGAGTGGACATAGGGGTTTAGGATTTAGGGGTTTAGGGTCTAGGGTTCTAATTCAATGTTTGATTATGTGGGAGGTCTAGGGCTAAGGCTTCGGGATTTGGGTTTAGGGTCTAGAGTTTAGGGAGCAACTCGTGACCATGACCCTAGGGTTTCGGGTTTAGGGTTTAGTGTCAAATGCGGGCAGTGTGCGGAATTCGGCAAATGGAAGATTCAATTCCTGGCCATTGCCTCATGGCCCAAGTTCTTCGCAGAGTTCCGATGACGTTCTTTCTATTGGTCTTGGAGTAATCCAGTCCTTTGAAATATGTGGGGGTTTCCTAAAACTAGGGCTACCATTTTGGGGGTCCCCATACTTAGGATTAAAATATTCTGTGGTCTATATTGGGGTCCCCCAATTTTGGGAAACTACCATATTCCCTAAACCCTAAACCCTAAACCTTAAATATATTCAAGCATGTGCAGACCGCAACAAAATCGCACTGATGCACTCTTGGGCACGCTTTGGTAAGCCGGGACTTTGCAAATCTTAAAGCATCCACACGGCAAGCCAAGTGAAAACTCAGGTTAGGGTTTAGGGTTTAGGGTCTAGGGTTTTGGGTTTTGGGTTTTTTTGGAGGGTTTAGGGTTTAGGGCTTGGGTCTGCAGATTTGGCATATCTGCACTTTGACAGGCTCCCGTCGCCGGCCATTCTGTGCTAGAAACAGACAACTTCAAAATGGCTCCGCTTCAAAAGCAAAGCATCCTTGCCACAAGTCCTTGAGCAAAGAAGCTGAACATCAATAAGCTGCCTGTGCGAAGTACCGGAACCAGCTTGCCATGAACGTGTTGCATACTGATTCTCTATAATAGCTTCCACTTTCTCTTCCATTATCC